AGCTCGAAGTGGACAAAGAAGACACTGCGCGGTCTCTTTGTATGTTGCAGATGCGATTGTACCCTTTGCCAGCCTTCAGGCGCAGGCATGGGAAATTGCCATCCGAGGGCAAGAACTCCGCGTCCTATCGCGCAAGGCAAACGGCTTGATGGAAAAAACGCATTGAAGCTACTCACTCACATATTCTAATTGGACGCATCGTTTCCCATAAATCCAGAAACATAGGCCTTTTCCACACGCGAGTTGATCGCATTGAGCCTCAGAAATACTGCATGCTGCACCCGAAGTCCTGAAACTCGCAGATACGGGTGGTGAGGCACTGACAGGACTATTCCTTTCTTCTTCGTGGACTGCTTGATCACCATTGTGGCTGACTGCATGCTCGCCGACGCAATCCTTGGGGAAATAACCGGCCACGACCCTCAAGTTTCAACAGCTACAGCAAAGGATTGCAAAGCCCGATTGTATGCTCCGCGCTCTACGTGCAGCAAGCCAGGCAAAAGTGTCACCTTTGAAGCTATGCGTTGCCCCACTGGAAACGTACTCTTGGCGCTCAGGGCTCCAGCCCGAAGCGCTTCAAGTGGCACTTGCACCTCACAGGTGCATACGATTATGATATAATTACCTTTGTAGTATACTGCTACAGTATACTTTTATCGAACAGACCGTGGTCTCCGCCGGGCCTGGTCTGCAACAGCTTGGCGAACAGCCTTGACCACACGGCTGTGCATCCGCAAAGAAGATATGGCACTGATGCAGTCCATCCTGCGCACAATATGACAACACGTCAAACGATATCATACCATAGTATATTATACGGTAGTATATTATAGGAAACTACATGATGTATACCGCGGGAGGACTTGATATCGGTATATCGCTCACCTCACCCAAAAGTAATATGGATGGCCGTCGGCTGTAGTAATGCACGTACTCACGCGATACTATAGTTTATGTGAACGGACAGCGAAACGTTGTGAGCTCGGAAGATATGCTTGATAAGAGCTATCGTACCAACTTGTTCAGGACCACTATGACTCCGACACTCGGGTCACAGCAAAGTCTCATTTGCAAGCTCCGCATAGACACATATTGCCCTGGCTCTAGTCACTCTAGTCAAGTGGCTTTTTAACTGCCGTAATCAAAATAGCTTACTTCAGTTCGGTAAAGCCATACGTCAAGGTTTCGCGCCGAACCGCGCCGAACGTGCATTGACAGAGTCCGGACAGTCAGTATCGGGAATAAATCGAACTACCAATGGCGTGTCATCCAATGGTTCTGTCAAGCTCCTGAGTGGCATCGTCGGCCTGCACAGTGCATATCACAAATTCACATCATGGGGATCAGGAAAAGATTCATCTGAGGGTTTTGCATGAAGTCGAACACTGTCACGGTCACCTGCAGACACTCTCATGGTGGCGGCAAGTTGCGGTAGGCTCGTCATCAGCGCCTCGGCTTTCCCTTCTATCTTTGGGGCGCAAGGCGATTTTTGACCTGGTAATTCAACGCACATCAAGTGAATCTTGGATCTGCCCTCCTCCCTGCCTTGTCTTGCCCAAGGGTCGCAAAGCCCTGCAAGTAGCAGCACTGGTTTGGAACGGGCTTCTGTGCTCCGGCGAGTTCAGGGCTGAGAGCGCCACGAGAACAAAGGCATGCAATTGACTGCAACATGGTGAACTGAACCTAGTTGTGACAAATGTCCTTGTTCTTGCTTGCGTGCACGTTGACAGATACTGGTTGAAAGTCTGCATCCGCATTAGGGCTTGCTTTCGAGGGATATCCGGATCTTTGGCTATATGACGTTAGACCACCTGTAATAACATAGCAATATCGAAGGAAATCAGTGTGAACAAAAGGAATCGGCGCGACATATGCAACGCGACGAAGGCCACGGGACCATCAAGCCATTGAGCAACGGAGCAATGGCTTTTCTGGATGGCATGAAGCATCGATTTTTCGAAGCTGTCACGGTGGGAGCATGTGAGTCCGATTGTCTACAGCTTGCCAAGCCTCCACTGCAAGATCACTGTTTCGTGAAAGCGTGATCATGGGCATCCATGTTGCACCGTCTTGCGCGGGCGCGGTCGAAGTGTGCTAGAGTTACAGACGGCAGTCCTCCACAACTCGGAAAGCTGTGTGGCTTGTCTCTGTTGGACCTGCTCGCTCGCTCTACGGAGGAGTGGAAACGACGCTCAGGGCATGAGTAAGGATCATCCTCCGCCTCGCGCAGTCGCTCCCTCGGTCTCAGCACGGCATGCTAAGGAAGCCGTCCTGCCAGGTGCGCAGGATAGGCCGGGCCAACGAAGTCCTAAGCCAAGGATCAGCAGACCTCAAGGGCCCGGTCACGTTCTCAGTCCGCAAGTCACAGACGAACCTTACCCGTCGCGCGAGCTTCGCGCCTGCTTCTCGAGGAAGAAGGTGTCGGTCCGATGAGCTGTCCCAGGTCGAACTGTGCGAAGAACAGCAGTAAGACGTCTCGAGGGCCGTGGATGGCCTCAGAAAACAGTGACTAATTAGTGCTCTAGATCCAACAGTCAAAAGCAACATTCCTGCGCCTTTCGCATACCGATTTCCCCAATGGCACCCCAAGCACAGTGGTTGAGTACTCATTGATGCCTTGATGCCTGTCCGCATGTGTCAGCTATCAACCCTCATTCAAGGTCTCAAGAAGCTGCGGATCCAGGACGGCCTCTACCACAAAGCTACTCCGTCCATCAAGCCGCTGGCGCCTCTTCCGGGTCCTTCAGTGCTTCAGCTCAAGCCCCCGTCTTCAAGAAAGGGCACAAGATGCTCCTGATCCTCTCTGGCCCGTGCACGCGGAGATTGAGGAGAAACGCACGATTTTGGTGATTCTCGTGGCCGTGCTGAGCCTCGCAAGTCCAAAGAGACCCGCCACAAACAAAGCAAACAACAGATCTCGATTATACGTTTATGTACTTATGGCCGCCCAGCCTGTCGAAGGTCTGGCAGACCTACGCGCTGACTGTGCCCGCTGTCCGGCAGCATCAACCCTGTCTCCTCAAAAGTTCACCAGCTTTGCCTTCGCTTTCTGAGCTTTTTGAAGATCGCTGCCTCTGCAGCCGACGAACCGGACAGAAAGGTCCCATAGTTGAGGAACCTGTGCCAGGCACGCGTTCCCTTCCTGTACTGGATGCAAGTCAGTAGCACTGGCCATCTGCCGCATGGTTGGTCACCACGTCTATGCACATGCTCGGGGTCCAGAATGCATAGTGCCTGGGGCACAGAACTTGCTCGGGGTCGGCTCCTGCTTCAGTAGTTCCGTGCTTGCATCTGCAGTATGCGCCGATGCCAGGCCCGGCTGTTGTCCTCCAGGCTGTCGATGCGGCGCAGGCGTCCGAGCTCCACGAGCTCCGGGCACCGCTTGCTGCAGAAACCTGGCAGCATGCGGATCTGGAACATTCGTTGCAAGAGAAAGTTCAGCACGCCAACAAGGACGGAGCGTGCTGGCCAAAAGAACCTGAAGTTCTAAACCTTTTGGAGGTCAAATGCGTCCCCGATTTGACGAACTAGAATCTAGAATCTAGAAACTCTCCTCAGCGAGATACCGCTTACGGCTCTCCCTTCTCCGCACGAGCCGAGGCCGAGGCTGAGGGCCCGCCGAGGCGAGGAAGACGCGCCTTCTTGGCCTCCCTGCCTCGAGCAGAGAGGGCTCTCTGAAATGCTTTCAGCGAGGGCTCCGCTGAGTTTAGGGTCTCGGGTTTAGGGTGGCAGTTGCCAGCTCTGTGTTTCTGCAAACTCAACCGCAAAGCAAGCTCGGTGAAAAACCACAGTCTGCAGAGTCTGCGGCGCTGGGCAGCTGAGCTGGTCTTGCAGGACTAGGTTTGCCAACATGATGGCCAAGGGAAACCGGCGCGAATGCCGCGAATTCCCGACCAAGTTATTCAAAATTGATTCAACTCCCAGTGGTGTTGCTGTACATCAACACTGTAACACGTCGTAAATCGTTCATAATGCAGGTCATGCAATAAAAGTCACGCAGTAAAAGCCCGGCAGTCACCTGACAATGCAGGTCTGAATTTGATCTGCAAAGTTCACATCGAGATCCTTCGCTGCCTGGTACACCATTCGATGGAACTCCGTGCTGCCATCCCTGAAATACTTCTCTAGGCCGAGAGTCGGGATGTCATCAACAGCACAGCAGCGAGCGAGCAGAACTGTGCGGTGTAGGGTTTGAAGATGCTTGGATGGCGTGAGCGCACTGAACAACCACGGGTCCACATGTTGGCAGAAGGCCCAGTGATCCAAGGAATGCACGACCGTCCCCAAGTAGTGAGCTTCACAGCTGTAGTTTGCTGGGAAATCTGCTCTGCAGTGATTGAAAGCCTGCCTGAAAGGGACCCTCAGCTGGATCATGAACTTCAAGAGTCTGGAATGCTCCGCCAGCTTCGCCACCAGCCTGTGCTCTGCGACCCCGGTGTTCAAAGACTCAACGAGGACCGCTTCAACAGCGGGTCCTGCATCCTTATGCACCAAGTTGCTGGCCATGCGGGGGAAGTTCGTGAATCCATAATGGTTGTAGCAGGCTGTCACAACGCTCATCTTCTGCAGGTATGGGCTGGTACTGTCCGCAGGGTCGATGCCCCAGTTGGCATAGGCATGCATCTTCCCATGGTTCACATTGCTCTCGCAATGGGTCAGCAGAACGGCCGCATCCATCAAGGCCAAGGTCTCTCCATCGAGCTCTGCAGTCAGGAAGTCCTTCGTCTCGAGGTCCAACTTCACCACCATCCTCTTCTTCACTTCGAAGCGCACCTTCGAGTCGCAGTCGTCGCAGTCGTCGCAGTCCACGTACATCGGGAAGGGGCTGTAGGCAAAGGTGGCCACATTATGACCCTCGGTGTCGTCAATGCTGGCCACGCCGGTGCACAGGTTTTCCAATACCAGGTGGTAGATCCTGGGCTGCAACTTCCACAAACCATTACAAAATGCTCGAAGCAAAAGCGCCCTGTTGGCTCTCAAAAGAAAGCCCTTCCGACTGAGGCCCAGGAGCATGCGCCGCACCTTCGCTTCCGAGGCCTCTGGGAGCAGGCCGCAGAAGCTCAGCAGCCGAGCCAGCTGCATCTGACACCATCCGCATACCTCAGAGCAGAGCAGAGCCGAAAACAAACCCGGAGCCAAGTCGATCTAGAGAGGAAGGGTCCCAGAAGCGCCGGAAGTCGTAAGTTTGTGGCAAGAACTTGGCCATTGCGCTATGACAGGCCGTTCGACTGGGGTCGCCTTGACCCTATAGTCATGCTACTGGCAAGAACGGAAGGTCAAACCAAAGGTCGGATGAAAGCTTGCTATTTATCCCAAGCACCACCAAGGCAAAGGCTGGCAGAGCAATGCAATGGGCGGCCCAGAGATACTGCCAGAGCGTCAAGTGCACGTGGTTCATGTCCATCGTAAAGCTTCGGGTGCCGCTGACGGGACACGAACCCTTGGATCCCAAAGTTTCTTGGCCAAGTAGGACAGGACAGCCCGCAGATTTCTGCATCGACGGGCACCGGACCGTGGGGGGCCGTCCGTTGCTCGGGCTGGAAGCGTTGGAGCGCGAGAGACGCGTGGAGAAGTGAAGCCTCCAGGTTTGGACGGCCCAAGCGAGCCAAGAAGCCCAGATGCCCCCCACAAGCAGAAGACTCCAGAACACGAACACGCTCATCGTGCTACTGCTGACTCGGAGCTGTTGGCCAAATGTCTGTATGTCGGTCACTGGAAATGAAGTCTGGATGTCACTTGGCGAAAGCCGCTCACAATGACCTGAAACCGAAAGCCTTGGCCTCTCTCATCTCCTGTGTCTGGTTGCAACAAGTGGGTCAGCCAAGGTGCTGCTCAAAGCAGCGGAACCTCAACACAACTGCAAGGGACCCCCAGCGGACCCTGAGCAGAAGCCGAGCAGTGTCTAAGCGGAACCCCAATGAAATCTCAGAGGCACCGGTCCTTCGGCGGCGAGCACCTTGGCCTCCGTGAATGTCTGCGGCCTAGCCGCGGAGCCGCAGGTGTGGCGGCGCACGTGTGGGTTCTAGCCATGAAGCATTTAGGGTTTCAGATTTGAGGTCTTGGCTTGTAGTTGTGCTAAATCTCCAAATGTTAACTGAAGTTCCGAAAGTCTGCAATGCATATCGCTCTGTTCAATGCTGCACGTCCGATCTCTACACCGGAACAAAAAAGGACACTTAATGCCAGGTCAAACCTGAAATGCCTACTTGTCAAATGCATGAACTTAGAAAGCTGAAAGCTATGAGCCAATGTGTATAAGCAAAGGTTGGCGGGTCTGAGGACCTTGCGTTTCAAGGAATCCGAAGCATCATGGCGTACAAGTGCGCGGCCACCTGCCCTTTGATTTCTGGGGCGATCGACTCTTTAGATTAGCAATGTCTGTACAGCCCGCTGGCGCAACTCGGCCCACGAGGAGACTGGAGTGGTCGCAGTCCCTGAAGCATTCTCTGAAACGGGAGGGTGCCCTGCCACAAGCCTCCAGTCGAGCATTAACCCCAAACGCTGGAACGGGCGGCATCTTGGCAAGGTCAGCAAGCGCCTCTTTGCGCCGGAGACGCATCGAGGCCCCCGATTTCGAGAAGGCTCAGTCAGTGTCGCGAGTCTCCTATTGCCCAGCTTGGTTGCGCACAGCTGGGATGAAAGGGGGTTTGGGGGAGGACACTGGATTGTGATCACTATGTGTGGTATGCAAAAACGTCTGCGACTATTGCAGTGTTATTGCCGGTGCTGCTTCTGGTGCAAGTATGGCTATAATTACCACTCCAGACTGAGACTCTGAAAACTGCTACTACGAAACTCTTTGAAGTGTGGTGTCTATTGAGTCTATTGCTAGCATGATTGCCATCCGAAGGTTTCAGGTTTAGTATGGCTAAGCATGTTCAAGGTTGTGCGGCTTTGCAAAGCTTGCAAAGTGCAGCCGTGGGTAGCAATTGTATCAACCATAAGCGCCGCTGACTCTTGCTGAACAGACTGGGCGCACTGCTCCAGAGCTTGTCCCACATCTGCAGCTCCAGAGCTTGTCCCACATCCTGCAGTATGTGTGGGCATGAGAAGCTTTGCGCATTTCGAACTACCAGACATGTTTCAACAAACATAGGCGATGGAGTCGCAAGGGCACGAACACTTGATAACACTTGGGGGGAATTTGAAAAACTATCTTTCTTGGGTTGGTTTCAGCATGTGCGGGGCTTTGGGGAAGCAGTGACCCTTTCCCCACTCACGCCCTTCCCCACATGTGAACTTAACCCCAACCCCAAACCTGCCGGCTGCTCACAGGATTTAACGGGCCTTTGTTCTCCTCGGAATGGCAGATCAGCGAGCGAGCACCAAAGCGCACCTGTTATTATACAAAAATCGGATGCTGCGCATGTCAATAGTCGGGGCCCGAAATACAGAGAAACAAAAACACAGAGAGCGAGAGGGAGAGAACCTTGTCGCCAGCATGCGTGGTGTTTTGGTAATCCGCCGAGGCCGAAAGGCCTCAGGGCGTTTAGATCCTGACAGCAAGGTAGTTACCCACCGCCTTTCCCCAGCTCCACCCCCTCCTCATTCCTGTCCCCTTTTCTCGTCGCTCCCAATACTGCCGCTTTTTCTTTTTGCTGCGCTATTGCGAGGGTTGTCGTCTCCCCTCCTCTCCTCGCCCAATGTAGATTGCCTTCACTAGGCATCCTGCCTGCAGCACAGCTCCATCCTGCCCTCGTGCCTGTGCCGAGGCGGCCCGGCGATAGCAGCCAAATTACCAGCACTGCATCAGGTGGAGGCGGGCGCAATCATCGATCTTTGGGCGGTCGTGTGAGTCATAGAAAACCACGACAAACAGGGAGGTGAGGGAGTGAATTGAGGGAGCGAAAAATGAAGAAGGAAAGGGAGCGGCCATGCCAATGACCACACCGAGATAACTTGAAATAATCTCACTTCGAGAAGATCACAATGCATGTGGACACAACAGGTCCCGGCCGGGAGGTACTTGTTCCACCTTGTTGTCTTGACGAGTGAGTGCAAGCTGGGTGGGAGATGTGGGAGTTTCAGTGCCAGTTGGGCCAGTCGGCACGGTTGTCATGATCGAAAGCGGCTTACAGTTACGTGCGCACCTTTTGCGGGCCGCCTGCAGTGACCTCGCATCGTGTTTTGACCTACCCACAAACGATTGTATAAACGACAACTCTCGCAAGCTCCAACCTGCATCCAAAAATGTCCAGCAATGATATTCCTGTACCACTCTTGAAATCCTGAAGCCTCCAACGTTAGACATCAACTGACCTCCTCTTCTTTAGGCGTGGGTTTGGCCTGCAAGCGGTAACTTGAAGTGGGTTTTTGAGCAATCATGTCAATGAACTACGTGCCGATTCCCGGCCACATCCAAGCGAATCAAAGGAAGAGTTTGGGGTGCCTGAGATTTTGAGGCAGGTGAGCGCCTGACGGACCATGGACTATACGGTTTGGAAAGGCCAAGTTTGGGATTCCCCAACCATGTGCCGGACAATGTTGCGCACGTGGGCCTGGCACGCCTGGATCTTGGCAATACCTCAAAGCTCTACCTCTTCCCGCTGCGTGGCGCGGCCCTGCATGTGGACCCGGGGACCCTGCGAACTTTGCTCCACTTGTTGCAGGCCGAGACCACGGAGGACACCAAGCGAGCCGTGCAGGAGCTCGGAGCTTGGCAGGCACAGGAAGCCGTTGTTGTTGTTGTTGTGGTTGTTGTGGTTGCTGTGTTTGCAGTTGTTGTGGTTGTTGTGGTTGTTGTGGTTCTTGTGTTTTTTTTGTGTTGTTGTGGTTGTTGTGGTTGTTGTGGTTGTTGTGGTTGTTGTGGTTGTTGTGGTTGTTGTGCCTTTTTTGTTGCTGTGGTTGCTGTTGCTTTTTGTTGTTGTTGTGGTTGTGATTGTGATTGTGATTGTGGTTGTGGCTGTGGTTGTGGCTGTGGCTGTCGCTGTGGTTGTGATTGTGGTTGTGGTTGCTGCTGTTGCTGTTGCTGTTGCTGTTGCTGTTGCTGTTGCTGTTGCTGTTGCTGTTGCTGTTGCTGTTGCTGCTGCTGCTGCTGCAGCTGCTGTTGCTGTTGCTGTTGGTGTTGCTGTTGGTGTTGCT